ACTCGCGGGTGGGAGGCGGTGGAGCCGGTGCCTGACGGAGCCTTGGGAAGCCGCCGCTGTTATAAGTAACTCTTCCGAGTTTTCCTGTTAAATTATTGATTTTTTTTTGATCGACTTTTGGCTATGAATGATGTTCCCGCGGATGTGACAGTTATGCTACGATCTCAAGTTACGAGGTTTTAACCTGATAAGGTTCAGAAGTGGCATGTTTTCCTGTTTACACGCGGAGAGAGGCTAAGCAGTGCTCGCTAAGAAGCCTTAACAGATTGCTCTGTTGAATCGTCCCCGTGTATTTTCTCGACAGGCTGTGTCTGTGGTGTGATGTCTTTGATAGATTTCATGTAGCCGAGGCTTTGTCTGTAACATTACAGGAAAGAAATGCAGCAGTGTCTAAAGGGGTTTATTAGAGACTGACACGGTCTCGGGTATCTTGAAGGTAACTTTTTCTGAGGAAGCAGCTTTATCTTCATCTCCTTCTGATTAATTCTGTGTTCCTTTGGGACAGCAGGAGTCAAGTGTGAAGAGCTTGGTGATGTACGTCATCCTGGCACATTGTGAAGGTTTTGATGACTGTGACTAAGGGGGTTGAGTTTGTAAAAAAGTTGGCCTATAGGTCAGAACAAGTCTTTGATCTCAGGTTTAACATGTTCTGTTTTATGGGAAAGGTGTATTGTACACAACCTGGACAACTTGTGTTAGCTCTGAAATGGGAGAGTTAGGGGGTTGCAGCAGTGTGAATGTGATTTACAGCAGAAAGTAAAATCCTAAATCAGGAAGGAAAGGGGATATTTCTGAAACACAGCAGGTTGTTTTGTACTTTGTGTGTTCATTTTACGCACCTGTTGAAGACTAACAGGAATGACAACCTAATACAATTTGGGTAACAAGCTGGGCCCAGCATTTGATGAAAGGGGAGGAAAACTGTTAGCAGCTATGGAGTGTTACATTGCCATAGGGGTGTCATATAAAAAACATTTCCTAGGAATCCAGCTTGATTTATTGTCCCTTCTTTCCCCAAAGCCCTTGGGTTACTGATGTTTACAACTACGAGATTCTCTAAGCTGAGCTGAGACATAATGAGACATAAAAGACTAAAATAAAGTTTGATGCCTTTTCTGTTTCGAATGCCAAGGGAACTTTTTTGTCTTTGCTGTGTGTTTTGTCACAGGAAGCAACCCAGGTGTCTCCAAGAGAAAAATCCAACCTAAAATTTAACTCCACAGATCATCTCAGCATCAGGCAGTGTAGCATGTGATGTATATTAATCATGTTTTTAACACACTGTAGAACTTTTAAGGCACAAGTTCAGAGTAGTATTGGAACTTCTGTATTTAAACAAAAACATAGAAATTTGATGTTAAAGTGTTGCTCTTTTTAGTCTACCTAGAATCTCTCTGTAGTGTGAGGAGCTGTTCTGAATTGGGTGAATATTGCTATTTCCTCAGTTTTCTGGAGCTTAGTGGGGGTTTTGTTTTGTTTTCTTATCTGATTGATCTCTGCAAGCTTGAGTGTTGGGTGGTGTCATTCCATCCCCCTGGCCCAGATTTGTGGAATCTGGTGGGGACTAAACCATGCTTTGCTAGGGAACCAGGTGATTATAATGAAGTCTGTCTCTGAAGTCTCTTTCAGAATGTTGTGAGTTCCTTGGGATTTTATTATTGTTTGGTGCATGGTTAATTTAATGTTGATCTTTTTTACCTCTGCAAATCCTTCATTATAAATGAGCATGCTAGAAGTACAGATGTTTTCCTCTGAGCATGTTGCATACTTACTTGAAGGCGTTGCCAAAGAAAATCAAAACTCTCAATTAATGTTTTTAAGCAAACTGATTGTTAATGCATACCACAAATCTGAACAGCTTTCTTTTCTTACAGCCCCTTGTTCTCACCCTTTACTTTCTACCACTGCTGGCTGATGTTACTGCAGAGGTGAATCACTTGAAGGGGGAACCATGTGAGCAGATCCAAGGGTCCTGCTCCCCCCCATCTTCCCCCAATCTCTACCTCATTTTCTGCCCCTCTGCCTCCCCCGAATCACCTGACAACCCTATTCTTAATGAGGAGAGAATATAGAAAGCGAACTTTTGGGTGTTGTTCGGAAAGTACTTTTGCTGTTAATGGCGGATGCACCTCATGCATGCAACCTAATGGTCTGATTTTTTATGCGATTATGTCATTGACATTAAATTATATCTGCCAATGTACCAGAACATATAAAGAACAGTATTTGGTGTCCCTTGTACAATCTCCTGTGTTTGCTGTTATAGGCTATGAGAGTGAATAAGTAATGTCTGTTTGCTGTCTTTCAGCAGCAGTCTGTGCTTTTTAGCATTTGCTTAGAGTACAGGGTTCAAGGTCAGCACTTGATTCTTGGAAGAAATATCTTGATTTATTGCAAAGCCTATATGCTTACTTTCTCTTTTTGAAATATCCTGTCACTCCCTTGCTAGATAAGAAACTCCATAATTAAAAAAGTGTTCAATTTCTGAGCACTTTTCATTCTTCATTCTGTCAAAATTGTGTTGTGGTTTTTTGTTTGTTTGTTTGTTCACCTGTCTTTGTACAGGTTTTTACCAGATCCACAACATTCATACCCATTCTAAAATTCTACTACATAGTGGGGAATCTTTTTTTCTTTATTCCCATTTCAACTTTTTTCTGTTAATGCCTCACATTCTACTGTGCTACTAAGAAGCTTTTTGTTTTCTATTACATTATGCAGAGGGATCATCCTAGTGTTGATAAATTTCAGTTGTCTAGCTGAAGAAAGATAGTAAGCTTTATCTTGGTCTTTTTCCTAAAGTGGGCTGGTCTTTTAGCTATCTGTCATGCTTGTCTAGATTATGATTCTTAAGTTACCTGTAAAATTTAATTTCAAAAAAATGTAGTTGCTGTAAGTAAATGACTGGTTCTTTTTTTGTGTGTGTGTGTGTGTTAAATGTGCCTGAATAGATTATGACTTAAAATCTTTCAGCTGAGACAAAATGACTGCAATCAAGCATGCTTTACAGAGGGATATTTTCACTCCCAATGATGAACGCTTGCTGAGCATTGTGAATGTGTGCAAAGCGGGCAAAAAGAAGAGAAACTGCTTTTTGTGTGCCACAGGTACATGGTAAAACCATACTGTGTTTTTTGTCTTCACCTTTGTTTTTTATTCAGTTGCTTTTGTCTTAGCTTTATTTACAGTATTTATTCTTGCCCCATATAAAACAGATGCTTTCCATTTCTAATGGAGAAAATAAGTTGTAGCCTATACTTCCATTATTGCTTCTACTAAAAAAGAAACAAAACCCTGTAATTTTATTCCCAGATCTTGTTGTAATTTGAAATTAAAGAATCAAAATTCTAAGTGTGGGACTGGTGGGCTTTTGAAGCAGGCTTTACGTAGTGCTTAATATGGGATTTAGTAGGCATCTAGGCTGATCAGCCTATATAAATGTAATAAAGAGTACTGGTTAGAGTCCAAGGCAGAGGGCTCTGGAAGGGCACAGTAACTGAACCGAGTTCTCATGTTCCTTTGAATCTATGTTTTTTATATTACATCTTTTCAAAAAATCAGGTGCTTTGGGTCAATCCATCAATAAATTAGCTTGCTAGAAGTCTCAGAAAACATTTTTATTCTATGGTCTTCAGTTACCTCTGTACTTTGTCCGTTATGCGATCATGGTCTGATGTCTGCTCTGTCAAAGAAATATCTGTAAATTGGGTTCATTACTTCACAATCCGTATAGAGATGTATATCTGGTTGACTGAGACTTAAACTGAGCTGTGGATATTGTGGATGAAAATGTTTCAAAGGGTCTCTTTTCATCAAATAAATATTGTGAAATCTCCCCCACAGATAATTCATTTCCCAAGTTGAAGTACAGCAGAAACAGATTTTTAAAGTAATTTGTGCATTTTGAAATTACTGTTTTTACTTCATTTAACAGTGACAACAGAACGACCAGTTCAAGTAAATGTGGTAAAAGTGAAAAAATCTGACAAGGGAGATTTCTACAAAAGGCAGACTGCATGGGCACTTCGAGATCTTGCTGTTGTTGATGCCAAAGATGCTGTTAAAGTATGTGTAACTTTTTGGTTTAGTGCTCTGCTCAGAAAATCCTTTTGATTACAAGTTGGAGTTAACTTCCTTGGTGCTGACTGCTTTAAAGCTTTGATTGATAAGACATTAATTAGGAATTAGGATGATATACTCCTGGGCTGCTTGTGCCTGCATTTTCTCATTTCCAAGAATATAACCCTGGTAAACTGAGTAAGAGTAATCTAGATATGCTTGAATAGCAATATTCTGAGTATCTGCCCTGTTTGTTATAGCGATCTCTCAGTAACTGTACAGTGCTTGTGCTAAGGACCAGTACTTTTTTGTTTGTTTCAAGTCTTATATAAATTTTTACTCCAAGCTTAGTTTCCCCTTAAAAAATTTACGACCATCTTAGAATGACATTGAGATACATGTAGCATTTTTTGCTAGGACACTTGAAAACATTCTTTATGAGCAGTATATAAGCTTGAAGGTGAGCTTTTATAATCTGTTCTCTAAATTATGACATTGGCCATTTGTTGAAAAGCGTACAGTCCTGAGGTGGTGTTCTTTTCCATAGAAAAAGAGCAATTTATTTTTGACCATTTAGATTCATCTGTTGTTACAAACTAAGATGTACAAACAGGCAGAGGTGAAACATCTTCATCTTGTGATGTCTGGTTTTATGTTAACTGGTGATTTGGAGGAATAGTGGAGCAAACTACAAAGCTGAAAATGCTTTGGTTTCCCTCTCCCCAAGTTTAGGTTAAACATGTTTTATTATTTCAGGTATCCACATACTTGTTGGCTAGATTTTAGATTTTCCTTGCTGTTCCTAAATACCATGTTGGAGAATTGCTTCTTACAGGTTAAGGTTTAATTTAAAATTACACTGTCTTTTGGGGCATTTTCTTGCAAAACAGAATTCGATACCTGTTTTCAGAAATGTGCTGTAATGTATATACCATTATAAAGAGAGATTTTAGAATTTTCTTTCAAAAAAACAAATGTTGAATGCCAAACTGTCTCATTAAAAAACGTCAGAATTAAAGTTGATAGGTGCATCATGTTTTGGTTTCCAAACATGACCTAGGCAACTCTTTCGACACAGGCCTTTCCTGCACTAGTTGTGAGACAACTCAAATTTTATGTAATGATACTCTTTGTTTAGAATGTATGGTAATTATCAATATAAGCTACAGAAAAAAACCCAAAACTACTCTTATTGTGCTGTACAGGAAATACTGTTTCCCACTGTATGCAGTTTCATGTGCAGCCTGCTTCTGCAGATAGTAGTGACAATATAACTAATATGTAGCAGCAATTGTAGTTTTACAAACTATAGACAAGTATGAATTTAACACGTATCTGAGGCAATAACATTTTTAATCAGAAGGAGGGGTTGGATCTTGTCAAATGCTTGGAATGTGATCTTTAAAACAGAGTATTACCAGTTACAGTCCATATTGAGTTCATAAATGGCTGTAGAAAAGTACTTTATTCAATTGTTATCAAAGCAATGTTCAGGCAATAAATCTAGTTGAAGATACTTCTATAGTAGCTTTTTACCACTAAAATACCAAATGGTCTTTTCTATCCCATTCAGTGCTATCAAATACTGTCATATCTACAAAATATGTAAAGTGCTCATAATTTTTTTCCCTTGCCCATTCCCTTAAGTCTCCTTGAATTGTGTTGTATATGTTGTCAGTAATGCCAGCTACTGTTTTTAGTTTCAGAAAGTTAACACACGGCATTAGTCATTCTGAGGACAGTGTTTCAGGGCAGACAGTGCTGTCAAATGTTTCTCGAAACTCTTGCAGATCTCTGTATTATGTGTTGTTGTTGCCTTATCTGGCTTGACAAAATGCTGTCTTCATAGCGTGGATTCTGTTTTTTCACTTTCAGTCTTTTAGCACCTTCATTAAGGTTGGTGTAACCACCAGTATTGGTATATCAGCTTAAGGTTGGCATCTATGTAATTTCATTTTTATCCTGTTATCTCAATAACTCAATGAGTAAACAATCTCTGCTGCTCAGAGAATCATTTGACCATTGAGCCTGTAACATATCTCATCTTTTTCAGGAGAATCCCGAATTTGACTTGCACTTTGACAAGGTATACAAATGGGTTGCAAGCAGCACAGTGGAAAAGAACACCTTCATTTCATGTATCTGGAAACTCAATCAGAGATATCTTAGAAAGAAAATTGACTTTATTAATGTTAGTTCACAGCTTTTGGAAGGTAAGTTTCTAGAACTGTATGCTAAGTATAAAGTTTAATAATTATTGATGTATTGATTAGCTATACTAAAAAAAAATCCTGACAGTTTTGCATATTCAATTTTATTATTTTATATTTTCTAAGTCTTCAGATAAACAAGGTGACTAGATAACAGATTTTATATTAGAAAATGAGAACCAAGACAAAACACTTAATTAATGAAGCTCTAAATATTGATAAGCTTATAGTTATTTCTAAGACATTTCGTTTCTTGAACAAAATAAAATCTTCCTGCAAGACCTGGTAGGTGTAAATGTGTAATGAATCTGCTTTTGTTCCCATTTTCGCTTCCCTTGAATTAGAAAAATGCTTTAAAAAGTGACATTTCAGTAGCAAGCTAAAGGTTATATGAGGTTTTATATCGATTTCTAGTTTATAAACTGTGAAGCATGTGTTAAATTCTGCTGGACCCTATTACAGTTTATGGTACTGGCTGGTTTTTCAGAAGGCTTTGTATCTTGTTAGCTCATATTGTATTAAATGTTTTTTACAGTCACATTATCTTTTAATAGTTAAAATTTTTCAGTAAAGCCTATTAAGTGTTTCTCACATTGAGTCTGTCAGAAGTGGTTGGTATTAAATACTAGACTGGATTGCACAGAAGAACTTGAATTAGAAATGTAAAGCAGGGAGGATAGCATTTCTGTATTTTGGTGTTGACTGAAATTTGATTTTAACCAACTTCTAACTTTTCAACTTTGTGCAATATAAAAACATTCAAACTTACTGCCACTTAAAAATGTACACACTGTTCACGCTTTGTCTAGCTAACATTCTCTGCTTCCTTTCCTCTGCTTTTCCATACCTTTTAATTCTTCAGAACTGCCTAAAGTTGCAGAAGGTGCGTAACACCTTTTCCTTTATTTCGCTTTGTAAGCAATTTTTCTTAAACTATATGCTTTTTCTTTTTTTTTAAAGTGCTTTGGATAGCTTATTAAGTTGCTAGAGATGAGAGAGGTATCAAATGTCCTAAACACTGACTATACTGTGTTAATGTTCTGTAAATCATTTGTCAGCCTTTGAATGGCTTGTTGAATTAAGTAAGCACTGCCATGAGAAATCATAGTGCATGAAAACGTTGTTACATAATTTTCTCTTACCCGAGTACTGATTGTCCTGCTGTGAAACTTGAGCATCAAGATAATTTTTATTTATTCAGTGATATATTTCTTCATCAACTTTAGTATGTTTCCTTTGTCCTCTATCTACCAAAAGAGGCAATCTAACTTCTACTGATCTTCTGCTAACAAGTCTAGCATCATACTGTGGTGTATTCTGATGCTGATTACCAGCGTGAGAGGTGAATAAACTGAGATGGTATGTCCCTTTGTACATGCAGTAAAGGAAGGTGGCTATTTGTATTTTGCTTATGTTGCATAATTTGGAAAACATCACTGTTGGGAACCAGTTCAGGAAATCTTAATGAAGACAGACTTGAAAAAAACATGTGTAGGTAGCAAGTGCTTGTATGAAAGTTGTTTAACCGATTCATTCACTTAAAGATAATTGAACATACTTAAGTACTCTTAAAATGCTTGTGACTTTATGCAATTGATAATGTGTTTATTTCCCTTCTCTACATAAGAATCTGTTCCAAGTGGAGAGAATCAAAGTGTAGCAGGAGGTGATGAAGAAGCTGTGGATGAATACCAGGAGTTAAATGCAAAAGAGGAACAGGATATTGAAATAATGATGGAAGGGTGTGAATATGCTATTTCTAATGCTGAAGCCTTTGCAGAGAAGTTGTTGAGAGAGCTACAAGTGCTAGATGGGGTAAACATTTCTTCCAATGTAATGCGTTAGCATATTGAACTGTTTACAGTGATACTGACTACGTACTGTTCTTTGAAAAGGTAGCTAACATGTTCTGCTGCATATTTAAATATACTTGTATATCTGCTCGTAAGCAGAGCTACATCCTGTCTATTACCAGATCTTAAAGATCTTCAACTCTGCATTTTACCTTCCAGACCTTCTGGGGTGAGTTGCAGGCTTTCAAAAGAGGAGTTGAGAGGAAAAAAAGGGAGGAATTCTGCATATACCTTTCTTGAAGGCAGAGGTGCAGGGAGAAAGAGAACAGATGCTTGTGTCCATGGATGTGAACTCTTATGCCCAAAATACTACTCTGTGTAATTTGGAACCTGGTTTAGTCTAATAAGATTGCAGTTTTCAACTGTCTGTAACTGTACTATATTGTTTGCAATTTTGCTTTTTAAACAACCCAACAAATTAAGGGGATGCAGGGGATGCAGTCTTGAGGGAACAGTCAACAACCTCCTCAAATTGTCAAGTTGTATGTTGCTCTTATATTTTGCAAATGGCTGTTAATCATAGAGATCTTGCAACAGAAAATGTAGCCTTATCACCTAAGCTGTTTTTCTGGAACTAAAAATGTTTCAGTATAGTAGGGATTACTGTTTCGTTTTTATTTTTGTGCAGATCAATACTCCAATTCTAAGAATTTGAGCAAAGTTTTGGTTTTCTATCTTTTCAGTATGAAATAAAGAAGTGTCATAGACTGAGATGCTGTGTTCAATAACACTTTAAATGAGAAGTACTACAAGCTTATATTGTTTTGTCTCTTTCATCAAGAGTATTGGAAAGTCTTTTTTTGACAGTAACAGAGACAGGAGGAGATATTAAAATTCTTTGAGATATAAAAATGTCTCTTAAAATTTTGTGGCTTAATTTTCTGTACAGGCAAATATCCAGTCAATTATGGCCTCAGAGAAACAGGTGAATATCTTAATGAAGTTGCTGGATGAAGCTCTGAAGGAAGTTGACCAAATTGAGCTAAAGCTGAGTAGTTATGAAGAAATGCTTCAGAGTGTAAAAGAGCAAATGGATCAAATTTCAGAAAGCAACCACCTAATCCATCTCAGCAACACAAATAATGTGAAACTGCTGTCAGAGATAGAGTTCTTAGTGGTAAGCATTTTTATTGTGTTTACTATGGTTGTTCACATCAGGTATAAAATTATTTTAGGTTGCTACTCTCTTCAGCAACCATATACGAGGTTCATTTAGAAAAATTAATTTATTTTTCTGTTCTACTATTGTACCAAATTCAGTAAGTTTTTATAATGATGGAATTGTATTTATCAGTCTTGGTTCAGAGCAAACTAACCTGCTTATGGACAGTAATATCCATTATTTTGTAGAATCACATGGATTTGGCAAAAGGTCATATAAAGGCCCTTCAGGAGGGAGATCTGACATCTTCTCGAGGCATTGAGGCCTGCACAAATGCAGCAGATGCCCTGCTGCAGTGTATGAATGTAGCTCTTCGTCCAGGTAATGTTTTTGTTAGACTACAGTCTAACATACCAGATTTATCATGGTAGTGCCTTTATTGTATGTCCCTTTCCAACTAGTCTCAGATTTTGTTCTGTAGATTGAGGGACTTGTGACCTCTGGTCTTTTTGGTTCCCACATACTATATACTTTGTACTCTGAAGTTCTTTTTGTTTTCAGGACATGATATGCTTCATGCAGTGAAACAGCAACAGCAGCGGTTTAGTGACTTGCGTGAGCAATTTGCACGGAGGCTTGCCAGTCATCTGAACAGTGTGTTTGTTCAAATTATTTCTTACTATTTTATATGAAATTTTTGGTCACAAACTTTTCCTGAGAGGAAAAACAATCCACCTAAAATTGGATGTGTTTTGTGATGTAATCAGTAAATTAATGGATTGCTAGAGGCAATGCACACAGATATCACAAGCATACCAAACTATACTTGCCTATGGAAGTGCCTTATATTTAAAAAAAACCCACCTCTCCTTAGTGGGTTTGCTGTCTGAAGTAAACAGATCGTGTGATATAAGGATTTATTTTAATTGTAAAGCTTGATTAATTGAGGAGAAAAAGCATTTATTTTTTTAAGGGTGTCAGAGGCTCAGACCGTTGGAGTTCTTGCTGTCTGAACGTCAAGGGCCATAAAAAAACCCAAACCCTACAAAGTAAAATGTCTAAACCTTGATTTTTGAGCCTTAACTTGAAATATTCAGAAATACCTGTCCTGAGACTTGTTTCCTGAAGGCTGGATGTCTTTTTTAGCATAATTTAAAAAAATTTCTATATTTTTTTATCTCCAATTAGTTTACTCAGACCCTCCTTCAACTCTATAACAGGTCCTCCTGTCTTTCAGTTCCAGTGAGTACACCGTTTGATACAAGCTTTTCTAACTAATTTTTTTGAGCTTGACTTATCTAACTAGCAGCTGCATCTTTGGCTTTACAAAAAGAAATTTATCCTTACTGACTGCAGAGCATCAGACTTATGCTCCTTCTCACATTATTTTTATCAGCCCTCATTTTTTTAATCTTTTTATGAGAGATCATTCCTCTGACCGATCTCCAGAAATTTCTAAGAGACAGATTGAGATGTATGGAGGAGAAATATTTTCAGGAAATTGTAATACGTGTACAACTGTACACATACTGCAACTGTGTGAAACTGTAATATTTGTAAGCAAAAAAATTCCATTTTGATACATGTTAGCACAATCAGAGTTTTAGAAGTTTTCCTTTTTATGTATTAGACTGTGAGCAGAAAATGGAATAGAGTTATGCTGCGTAATTGTATAGAAAATTGTATTTGAGAGTACAAGTGTGGCTTTTTATGGCAAAGATCAGCGCTTCCTACAGTTTCTTCACTTTGCAGAAGAATTCCAGTTCTATAGAATGTTAATTTTTTTTCCTTCAGTTTCTGTTCTTAAGAAGGTACGTTTCTCCTGTTACTTTTAATATTTTGAAAAACTGAGCAGGCTATATGTCCTGTCCTCTGAATGAGCAAGTAGGAGCTATGTTGTGTAAATGCATTCACAAAGTTTGAATATTGGACGTCTGTATGAACGTGTTTGTTAAACAGAATGTCTTTTCTGATGTTCTGTTCTAAGGATTTTATTTTTAAAATAGTAAGCAATTATTATTATAATGTAATACTGTGTGTATTAGATGGAATACTTCTAAAGAGACTTTTCAGTGCTATTGCAAATGCTCTTACCAATTTGCAATTTTTAAAATTTTTTTATTTAAATTCTGGTACTAACAGTGGCCTCACCAGTGTCTTTCATATAAACTTGCACTCTGAAAAGTTTTGGCCTGCTGTTAGCAGTGAGGTATTAATCAACAGATAAAAAAATATGACCTTCCTGTAAGGTTAAGCAGGAGGAGTTCATTAACTGCAAGAGATGAACCTCAGCAAAGCCTTTTTGTGTGTTGGAAAACGAAAAAAAAAAAAAAAAATGTGTACTTCATTTGATTCAACTGTTGGAGGTTTAACAGATTTTTGTGTTACCTGACTAAAATGACCTTGTTTTGTTAGTCTGATGAATAGAATATTGCAGTTTCTCAGTCCCATGATTTTGGAAAGTCTAACTAGAATACTTTGTTACCTTTAACATCTGAAGAGTTGCATTGTTTGTTTAGAATGTTTCTTTAAAGGGAAAAAACAAAAGCACTTTAGAAAAAAACTATGAAAAATATTTCTAAATTCAATAGATAAAGACTTCTAAATTAAAATGACAAATGAAAACCCAATGATATCTAGGTAGCTTCTAATACAAGCAAGGCATATTCTGATTTGGAACTCATTCAATGAAAAAACAAAGTTGCATCGACATTTTGGCCTAAATATATTGTATTAGAAGTAGAAAATTGTTCTTTTTTTTTTAAAGCAAACAAACCCAGTGCTGTGATTCAAACTACTGTTGTAAGATATTAAGGTGCATCATCTCCTTTATGTACAAATTAGAAAAAACTTAAAAGTTTTAAACAGAAATGCAACTTGGCATTGCCGATCACTGCAGTGTTAAAAACTGTTTGCAGTAGCTGTTACTAACAGTTAATGTAGTTGTCTTTATTGTGTCCTAATAATTTTTGATTTAACCTTCCTGTGTGTTTATAACTTAGAAGATTTCTTTCTTTTAACAACCAAGTTCAGCATTCAATTAAAAGGCAACTCTGGGCTTTCTGTTTGTGAAATACAAAGTAATTTGAAGCTTTGAAACTATGAAATAGCAGAATAACAAACTTGCAGTATCATCTTTTAACAGTATAAAAGTATATGTAGTGGGAGGAAGCCTGTTAATTAGATGGAGACAGTACACCTAATAGTTGGCTTGGAGAGAGAAATTTATCTCGGGAGGGGATTTGTCATCTAGCTTTATGAAAATGTAATGATTAAGCACAAATAAAAAGTATGTAATAAAGGGACATGAATACAATTATTAGATGAAAGAAACAATAAAGATTTGGATAGCTGAGTGTTTCCTAGCAGTGGTATGAACTAGCCTTTGGACTGACTTAGTTGAAGAGAGAGCTGTGAAAACCACCAGGTAAATGATCTTAAACTATGATGAACTTGAACATTAAAAAGCATGCTGCAGGAATGTTGAACACCAAGGGATAGGAGAGAGAACCATAAATGTTCTTCTACATCTAGTTTTTATAAAAGCATATCAAAGATCTGTTGAAAATATTTGCTATATGCATGCCCAGAAGTACATATGGTACTACTTGGCTGGATTCCAATTGCAAATTATGTGCTGCAATAATTAACACTTTACAAAGTTAGTTTTTTGTTGGAGTCAGACTACAAGATTGTTTTTAGAAGGAATATTAACTGTGTGACCCGTCTGCCCTGTCTGTGAGAATAAATTAATGAAGTTGTCTAGGACTTTTTCTTTGGATCCATTTGTGTCTGAGTTCATGTAGTTAAGCAAGCAGGACTTTAAGTGCATGTTCATGTTGGATGCAAAAAAGAATTCCAGCTTTATTCAGAATCTGGCATGTTCACATTGTGTTACTTAAGGAAGGTTATTCTTCTACAAATAATACCAAGAGTCATATCTTATTTAAGAAAAAAAAAAAACCTGTGAATGTATTGTGGAGGCTTTTAGGGCTTTTGTAACCAAAGACTTGAACTGATTAGTACTTAATGCGATAGAGAAGGGTGAGCAAAAGTTGCTTTAGTATTGACTCTGTGATCCAAACTGGCTTATGTTCCAACTGAGAGACACAAAGCAATGAAAGTGTGTGTGTGTGTGCATTTGTGCGGAGGGAGAGAGAATGTGTGTGAACTGATGTTTTCAATGTTTTGCTAAAGTGGGTTGAATTGGAGCAGATTTTCTGAGACGTAGCAATAAAGCTCATCATTAACACCTAGACCACTAAGTGTCTGGGGATTTGAAATGTCCTATCATATATGGTTACAACATCTTTAAAAAGAAGCAGCTATGGATTTTTTTTTTTTGGTTTAGAGAAATAATGTAATAATCTCTTAGAATTTTTCAGAAGCAGTTGAACACTCATCATTAAATCTTTACTCAGGTGTACCTTGCATTCTCATGTAAAAAATGCCTGAAGGCAAAGTGGTAAACAGCAAAAGCCTTACAATGAACAAGCTTACTAAAATGCATTATCTGCCACAACTATAATATGTAGGTCTCCATATTACATTAGGCATCTTTTCAGTCAGTGTTTCTAGACTTTGTTTCTATGCAAGATATTTTTATGATTTTCTGTTTGAATGGGATACTGTCTTTGTTTTAAGTTTTTCAGGAAACTTATAGCACATCTGTATAGTGCTTCCAGATTTATTTAAAACTTTCTCTTATCAAGGGTCACGATCAGAGTTCTACTCTTGCCCAGCACTCTGTTGAATTGACGTTACCCAATCACCATCCATTTCACAGAGATTTACTTCGATATGCTAAACTGATGGAGTGGCTCAAGAACACAGATTATGGAAAATATGAAGGGCTAACAAAGGTATGTGAAGTGCTCAAATGATGCTAGAGAATTGTCATGGTTAAACCCCAGCTGGCAATAAGCACCAGCCAGCCACTTGCTCACTCCCCCCTGGTGGGATGGGGGACAGAACTGGAAGGGTAAAAGTGAGAAAACTCATGGGTTCAGATAAAGACGGTTTAATAGGTAAAGCAAAAGCCATGTGCCCAAGCAAAGCAAAATAAGGAATTCATTCACTACTTCCCATCAGCAGGCAGGTGTTCGGCTATCTCCAGGAAAGCTGAAGATGGGTTTTATCACATGTAACAGTTACTTGGGAAGACAAATGCCATCACTCCGAATGTCCCCCACCCCTTCCTCCTTCTTCCCCCAGCTTTATATGCTGAGCATGACATCATATGGTATGGAATATCCTGTTGGTCAGTTGGGATCAGATGTCCCAGCTGTGTCCCCTCCCAACTTCTTGTGCACCCCCAGCCTTTTTTGGTATTTGTTGTATACTGTATTATTTTTTCCTCCGAGATTCTGTGTCTCTGTTCTGAAGTGTCATAAAATATTAAGTGGAGACTGGTGACAAGAGGCGTTCTGCAAGGGTCACTGCTGGGACTGGTGTTTAATATCTTGGTCAGCGACATGGATACTGGGATCGAGTGCACCCTCAGCAGGTTTGCAGATAACACCAAACTGTGGTGTGATGGACACGCTGGAGGGAAG